TATGCTTCTCACTGTGACTGGGATGACAGGTGTGTGCCAGACACACCCAGCTTTTTCTCCTGTTGAGATGGGGTCTCATGAACTTTTTTGCCCAGGCTGGCCTTAAACCACAATCTACCTGATCTCAGTCTCCCAAGTAGGTAGGATGACAGGCGTGAGCCACTGTCAGCCTGGTGCCTGTTGCCTTTTGATGGACTGTCATGACCTGAGAGTGTCTAGATGGTGTGTGAGGTCCTTCAGCAGCTTGACTTTGAGCCCCTGGGGTCACTGTATGTAAATAGCTGCACTGTGCATGTTATTTTAGCTAGAAGCAATGCAAATTCTAGCCAGTACAGAGTATGTAAGTTTGACTTGGAAATAATCTACTGCTTACTTTGAAAATATCCTTTGAGTGCTTGTTGTATACCACATACCGTGCTAGATGTTGGTAATATGAAGAAGGTTTTAGAAGAAACTTCTAGTCTAGGTGGAGGTTTGTAGCCACAGATGGTTTTCAGACTCTCCTATAAAATTACAAAACCTACCTGTGTGTTCTGATGCCACTGTCAGTAATTCTGTCTCAGGTGAACCAGGGTGAGCCTTGGGCACCTGTATGTATGAAGCAAAATCAGCTGATTTTTAAAGAAATTCTTTATTAAAAACCACTGGGTTGAGGCGCAGCTCAAGTGGCGTAGTGGTTGCCTTGTAAATGCAACATCCTGGGTTTAATCCCAGGACTGCCAACCCCTGCCAAAAAAAAACCCCAAAAACCAAAAAACAAAACCAAAGTAACCACTGGGAGAGACAGTTTAAAAATGATCGATTATGAGAAATGAACATTTTGTAAGCTCAGTATACAGAAAGTGCCCTAAGACTGACATGATTTAAATTTCTTTACTTTCAGGCTGGGGTGTAGCTCAGTGGTAGTGTGCTTGCCTGCATGAGTATGGCTCTGGTTTTGATCCGCAGCACTGCACACACACTCACAAATATATACACATATGTTTAGGTTGCTAACTATGCCTACAGAATGTTGTTTGTGGAACATATGCACACAGCCCACTCAAGTGTCACCACCTTTGTGACTACGCCACATGAAGAAGTGGAATATTTCCAGCACCTGAGTTGTGCCTTCTGCATCCCAGCTACAGCTCTTCCTCCCACAAGGCTGCTGGACTGACTACTTTTCTTTACTTTTTTTTTTTTAACCAGTTACGAAGTCATCCCTAGTCAACACAGTTTATCTTTTTCCATTTTGAGCCCTTTAGATGTAGAATCCTATCACATATATTTGTCATTTTTTTTCTCACCATTGTTGTGGTGGCTTTTTGTTACTGTAGCAAAATACATGCGGTAATCAGCTTAGAAGAGAAAGGTTTATTTTGGCTCAAAGTTTTGGAAGTTTGAGTCTGTGATCAGATGGTTCCATTGCTTTTGGTCTGTGGTGGGGATTGAGTGGTGGAGCAAAGCTGTTCACTTACTTCATAGTGAAAGAGAGAGGAAGAAGTCAGAGTCCTAATGTCTCCATCAAGGACACACCCCCAATGACCAGAAGACCTCCTACTGGGCCAAACCTCTTAATAGTTCTACCACTTCCCAGTAGCACCAAGCTGGACAATAATGCTTTAACACATGGGCCTTTGGGGGACATTTCAGATCCAGACATGCCACTTTTTTAAAAATCAAATTTGTACAAGTTGTCACTTTAACTTTAATTTTTCATTTTCATGACTGTATACCGGCCCATTTTATTGCCACACCACAGTTTATACATTCCCCTCCTATTGGACATGTGAGTTTGAGTTGATTCTCATCTTTGGCTGTTAAACAATACTTTTATGAATGCACGTGTGTGTCTACTGTGTCTATGTGCACAAGTTTCTCCAGGATGGTTCCCTTCAGTGACTTTCTGGGTTGAGGGATATGTGTGTTGTTAACTTAGTACAGGTAATACCAGTCAGTTTTGAGTAAGAACATCACTTGAAAATCCTTTCAGTGTGTAAGAGTTCCTGTTGTTTTACCTCCTTGCTAGGGGTGCTTAATTTTGATGGCTCAATGAAAAAGAGGCAAGGGAAGAAGAGGAGGAAGGTTATGTCAGGCATATAAGAACAGGTGAGAACAAGAAGGTGTGAAGAGTTTGGGAGGATATTGAAAACAGTGATACACCACAGCTATGGCTTTAAATGTTACAGCCTGATTCCCAGGTGACAGTGCTGAGGTGGGGCCTGTAAGGTCATGGAGGCACCGTCCTCAGCAGGGACTGATATAGCTCTGGCACTACAGGGGAAGCTGGGTTGGGTGTCTGGTGGCTGTTGTCATCAAGGCATGACATTGTACTTTTAAGGTGTAAATGCCAGTATGCTGCAACATTGGGCTGACCCCCAAACCATGTCCTGGACCTGTGTTGCTGAGTGGTGGGTACCAGGGATGCCAGCACCAGCATGAGAGTTGGTGCACAGTTGGTTCTCCATGCATATTGTGAGGGGGAGTGTAGGTTTAACAGAAAATCTTCTCTGTGAACGAAGACCTATGTGAGGAAACAAAATGCAGATGAACTCAAAAATCAGCCGTCAGCCGGGCCTGGTGGCTCACACTTGCAATTCCAGCTATGCAGGAGATGGGGACAGGGAGGACCATGGTTCAAGACCAGCCTAGGAAAAAAGTTAGGTGTGGTGGTGTGCACCTGTAATCTCAGCTGCGCAGGAGGTGAGGTAGGAAGATTGCAGTCTGAGGCTGACCCCAGCCAGACCCCAGGTGAAAAATAACTAAGAAGGGCTGGGAGCATGGCCAGCCAGCCAGCATAAGGCCCTGAAGTCAACCCCCAGAATCACCAATAAGAAAGAAAAAGAAAATTGGCCGTCCTGATTGATAAGTCAAATAAGCAGGGACTAGTTGGTGGGGGGAATCTGATATTTTAGATGTATTCACTTCTCGCCAGCATTTTTCTTCTATGTATTGCCCCACACTGACTGGCTGACTTCTCCCAGCCCTTTAAAACAAGTACTTACTTTCTCTTGCTAAAGACTTCTTTTATTCTTCTAGCTCACATTTTGGGTCAGAACACTACTAAATTTTTATGGCATGTAACAATAGTAAGAACTCTTTGATGTGTCAGCTGCTTTCTCTAGAAAGTGAAAGTGAAACCATAATTGTTTAATTTTGCCCATTAATGCATGTATGTCCTGGGCAGCTTTAGTTTGTTGAATTGGTGCGAATTTTCACAATTATGCGCCATTTTTCCAGATGATTACACTGTGGAAAGTGACTTAGAAGACTGCAGAGATGCAGAACCCCTAACTAAGTGGTGTGGGGGGGTTCAAGACCCTGGGGTAGAAGCAGAGTCGGGCTGGATTGGCAGCACCCTCATTACGCCTTTAATAGCAGACATTGCTGTTCTTTTTACACCCTTCTGGCGTGCCTGATCTGTTACTGAATTATTCACACATCTTGGAAGTCTCTCCGGTTCTCTGTTAATCCGGATTCCATGAACACTGTGATAATAGTTAAACATAATATTTATATTAAGAGGTTTTCCTCAGCAATTCCCGTTCATTATTTTGGTTATTGTTGTTGTAAGCATTTATAACAATTAAGACTGATCTAATTACTATAGTAAGAATGAGCCTATCATATTAAATATATGAAAGAAGTTGGGTGTTGGGGGGGGATTTGGTTTTTTGACACAGGGTCTTGCCATGTAGCCTAAGCTGTCCTCAAATTTGCAATCTTCCTGCCTCAGCCTTCCAAGTGCTGGGATTATAGATGTGTGCCACCACACCTGGCTCAAATAATATATTCTTTTTGAGTTCTAGCTTAGAGAAAAAATTAGCATGTAACCCTGTCATTTTGTTTATCAAAAAGGTAAGAAGAAAAGAATTGGGAGACTTCTGAGTTTTCTGGAAAAAAACAAACTATGATTTCTCATCATACAATTTTATAAATTTTGGAACTGAAAAAAATAGTAAACGTTGATAAACCAATTGGTAAATCATATAGCTTTTATGCTGTACTCAATAAAAAACTCAGCAAAGTCTCCATCAGTAATGAACACATTATTTTAAGAACTTAGTATCTTCTGCCATTGAAGTAGGTATAGAAAAGATCTGTTTAAATCTGTTACTTTAAATTTATATTCCTTAAGGGAAAAATTGCTGGAAGTATGTTTCTTTGAGCTACCAAAACTCTTCCTTCATTCTTGTGATGCTTCATTAATTAAATAATGAAGTTAATTCTTCATTATTAATGAAGAATAATGATCATATAACTGAATATAATTAAGTCAGTTATATGAAAATGTAGTGATTGATGTTTGATTAGGATTGAAATATATAATCAGAAGAATTTTTTCTTATGAGTGTGTTCTGTAATATAACAATTTCTATCAGAATACTTGTTTTGTTGTTGAGAAGGGGGGTCTTGCTATGTAACGCAGGCTTACCTTTGAACTCATGATGTTCCTACCTCAGCCTCCTGAGTGATTGGGATTACAGCAGTGTGTCAATGTGTCTGACAAGTGTGAGGTTTTTTTATTTAAATAATTAGTTGGGCTGACGGAGTGGCTCAAGTGATAAGAGCACCTGCCTAACAAATGTGAGGCCCTGAGTTCAAACCCATACTGTCAAAAAACAAAGCAAAGTTAAAAGTTAGTTAATAGGTTTTTGGAAATAGGAAGTACTTCAGTATTCAGCTGTTTTACTTCACAGCTAATGACACAGAGAATCAAAGTGTGGAGAAATGAGTTATCCATATGACATGGTCAAAATAAAACACAGATCCCACTCTAATTTCTTGGACTAGTGCTTTTCACCTGTAATCCATGTCATTCTCTCAAAACCAATCTAGATACTATTTAAAAGGCAGGGGGGGATGGGAGAGTGCCAAAGGAACAGGGCATGGTACATCCCCTGCAGTAGACGAAAGTTGAGTTCATTCACTTAATGGGCCTCCAGCAACTGTCCATCAGAGGAAATGCTTCCAGGGTGGGGATAACTGTGCTAATGAGATTAATTTGTGCCTTCCAGGTGAGAGTTATGTGTGTGCATCCAACGAGCCATTTCGTAAAGTTGATTACACCAAAAATATTAATCCAAACTGGTCTGTGAACATCAAGAGTGGGACCACCCGAGCCATGGCTGCTGCCTCCTCTGTGAAAAGCGAAGTAAAAGAAAGTAAAGATTTCATCAAACCCAAGCTAGTGACTGTTATTCGTAGTGGAGTAAAGCCTAGAAAAGCCGTGCGGATCCTTCTGAATAAAAAGACAGCTCATTCCTTTGAGCAGGTCTTAACTGATATCACCGAAGCCATTAAACTAGACTCAGGCGTGGTCAAGAGGCTGTGCACACTGGACGGAAAGCAGGTAAGGTGTGCTCACCTGCACCTCCATCTCACCCTTAGGCTCCCTGTACCCTGGCGGCAGCAGAAATTCAGTGGTCTATTGGAAATGTTGTAGTAGACCTATTTAAGGTGTGTATATCTTAGCCTTTATTGAGAAAAACTGAAGGGGCTTGCGTTTGTCCTACTATCTCAAATGCTTATGGAGAAGTCTATCTACACTCCTCTGGGCTATGGAAGGAAAATGTAGATTTCTGAGGAAATGCGAGTTGAGCAGGTCTCCTACATCTGATGGGATGTTTTCTGTTTTTGAACAACAGTTGATTACTACAGTTGTTATGGACTTGGGTATCACAGAAGTCAAATAAATGTATTTTACATATTTAGAAAAGCCTGTTCTCCCCACTTACCCATAATAATGGAAAAGGCATTCCAAAAGAAAGTACTTCTATGGGGTGTTTATATAAGTTTCTTAGGAAACAATGAAGGCAATTAGTCAGCATTTCTAAAAAGTGAACAGTCACTTCGGAAGATACGTGAGTGACTTAGCAGCAATGAGTGCATCAGGGAATTCAATGAGCTAATCACATCACTCCAACACCAGAATAGCAGTTATGTAGATGGTGGATTTTGCAGTAAGCCAAGTATCATTCCTGAAAAGAAGCATGTGGCTTCTGAAATGTATCTCCCCCAATTTCCATACAGTTAAATCGTTTATATTTGTATTATATTAAAAATTAGTTTCCAACATTAAATTTCTTCGTTCCATTTTGTTTCCTTCCCCACTATACCTAATTAATTTTGAAATGTTTGGCTGTTGTGGTGTTGAGAATGAATAATAATAAAAACACTGGGACAGTGTCTTCCAGAAAAACACAGAATAGCTTCTAATTTTCTAAGATCAGATCTGGTTGCTAGAGTGTTTTCTACATTATCAAAATTTTAAAAATAGGTTCTTGGGGCTTGGAGTGTAGCTCACAGGAAAGAGTGGTTTTAGCATATGCAAGACCAAGAATTTAATGTCTAACACTAAAAATAAGAAATGAGGGATAGGTTCTGAAGATTATAGTAAATTAGGGCAAGATGAGAAAGTTCTAATTAATTAAATTGATGATTAAAAGGTATGTACTTCATAGTAGTGTGTCCCCAAATGGATTCACAGTATTAATGAAAAGAGACATTTACACAGTGGAGTTAACAGCACAGCACAACACAAAAAAAGCTTAAGATTCACTTTACCTGAAACTTTCTCAATGGAACCCCAGCAGCTCAGCAACTAAGAGATAGCATAGATAAATGGGACTTCATAAAACTAAAAAGCTTCTGCTCAACAAAAGAAATGGTCTCTAAACTGAAGAGACCACCCACAGAGTGGGAGAAAATATTTGCCAGCTACACATCAGACAAAGGACTGATAACCAGAATATATAGGGAACTCAAAAAACTGAACTCCCCCAAAATCAATGAATCAATAAAGATATGTGCAAGTGAACTAAACAGAACTTTTTCAAAAGAAGAAATTCAAATGGCAAAAAAACACATGAAAAAATGCTCACCATCTCTAGCCATAAAGGAAATGCAAATTAAAACCACACTAAGATTCCACCTCACCCCTGTTAGAATAGCCATCATCAGCAACACCACTAACATCATCAGCGAGGATGTGGGGTGGTAAGGAACCCTTGTATACTGCTGGTGGGAATGCAAACTAGTACAACCACTCTGGAAAAAAATTTGGAGGCTTCTTAAAAATCTAAACATAGATCTACCATATGATCCAGCAATACCACTCTTGGGGATATACCCAAAAAAATGCGACACAGGTTACTCCAGAGGCACCTGCACACCCCTGTTTATTGCAGCACTATTCACAATAGCCAAGTTATGGAAAGAGCCAAGATGCCCCACCACTGACGAATGGATTAAGAAAATGTGGTATCTATACACAATGGAATTTTATGCAGCCATGAAGAAGAATGAAATGTTATTATTCACAAGTAAATGGATAGAATTGGAGAACATCATTCTGAGTGAGGTTAGCCTGGCCCAAAAGACCAAAAATCATGTGTTCTCCCTCATATGTGGACATTAGATCAAGGGCAAACACAACAAGGGGATTGGACTTTGATCACATGATAAAGCGAGAGCACACAAGGGAGGGGTGAGGATAGGTAAGACACCCAAAAAACTAGATAACATTTGTTGCCCTCAGTGCAGAGAAACTAAAGCAGATACTTTAAAGCGACAGAGGCCAATAGGAGAAGGGAACCAGGAACTAGAGAAAAGGTTAGTTCGAGAAGAATTAATTTAGAAGGTAACACACATGTACAGGAAATTAATGTGAGTCAACTCCCTGTACAGCTATCCTTATCTCAACCAGCAAAAACCCTTGTTCCTTCCTATTATTGCTTATACGCTCTCTTCAACAAAATTAGAGATAAGGGCAAAATAGTTTCTGCCTGGTAGCGAGGGGGTAGTGGGGGAGAGGGAAGGGGCGGGTTGGGGGTAAGGGAGGGGGCAAGGGGAAGGGGGAAGAAATGGCCCAAACATTGTATGCACATATGAATAAAAGAAAAAAATAAAAATAAAAAAGATTCACTTTCCCTGTATGTGAAAATAAATTAGGCCACAGGAAAACAAGGGTGTAAGATAAACTAGACAGGCAATTATCGGTGGGCACAGGGAAGACAGATATTTAAGCTACCTAACCGAAAGAAGAATGAAAGCCTAAATATGCCCAGGTTGGTAAAGGATGCCATACAACAGTAATGCAGATGCGATCTCAAAAATGAGAACTCAAAAGAGCTCCAAAATGAATGGCAAGCGGGGAAAATATAAGTGAGCTAACGAAAAGTTTGAACATCTAATCAAAACAATAACTACTGAAATTTTAATAGTTATCTGAACATTTTTGAAAAGACTCCAGACTAGAAATGTAAGAATGTTAAATGAAAACACAAGCAACTTAGAATCATCAGCATGTCCAGAATCCTGCACTCTGACGGGGAAGACATGTGCCAGTAATTAAAAGATTGCCTTCTGCAATCTGCTAAGAAACCTCATTGGACCTGAGTGCTGAGGATATAACATAACAGCACACGTGAGTAATTTCCCAAGGATGCTACGAAGCCAGTTGACAAAATGCAAGATCTATGTTCAGTTAAAGGTTTAGTATTTAAAAATAGTGATTTCTCTTAAGTCAAAAATGTTCCCTGTCTGAAACAAAAAGCCAGTATATTGCTAAACAAATACAGTACCAGAAGTTATTTCTCTAGCAGTCAACTCCAAATAGGACCTGAAAGCTCCAGTATTCAGTTCCTCCTGAGTTTTATTTGTAAGTTTAATGCAATTTGAGCAAGAATCTAAATGAGATTTTGGAGTAGAGGTTAGGGAACCTGCCAAAGTGATTTTAAAAGCTAATCTGGAAAAAACAGACAGGAAAAATTTGGAAATAATGATTAATGGGCTCTCATGCTACCAGATATTAAATCCTCCTCCTCCTGTACCAAAAATTAATTCCAGGTGCTTTAAAAATATGTATGTCAAAGTGAAAGAAAAGAACTAAGAGAAGAAACAGCAACAGCTATGTTGGAATAGGAAAGGATTTTCAAAGCAAAAAAGTAGTGTGGAAATCACAGAGTTGGTTGGACAGAGTAAAAAATTTTAAAATTCTAGATGTCAAGCAAGCATGACATATTTTATTTTGAGTTGTAGTTTAATATAAAAAGGCAAATGCTGTAACAGAAAAATGGATAAAAATCTAAACAGTCTGAAAAGAAAGACTTATAAATGGTACACATTACAAAGTGTTCTGGGGGTTGGTTGTAGCTCAGAGGTAGAGTGTTTGCTGGCATATGTAAGACTCTCGGTTGGATCCCTAGCACTGTCAAAAAAAACCAAAACAACAAAAAAGCAACTTGTTAATTTGTATAACTGTACCAAAATTGGTGGTACTAGAGGTTGAACTCAGGACCTTGCAGCTTGCTAGACAGGTGCTCTCTCACTTGAGCCATTCTCCTAGCCCCTTTGCCGTTGTTTATTTTTGACATAGGGGCTCACTTTATGCTTGCACTGACTGTATTTGTGCTTGCCCTTGTAGTTGAGATGACAGGTGCATGTGACTATGCCTCCAGCTGTGGTCCTCCTGGTCTCTGCCTTCCAAGTAGCTAGGATTACAGGCCTGAGGCACCCTGCCCAGCTCCAAAGTTCTTACAATTTGAGCTACACGGTTAACATTAGGAATTTATTCTAAGTAACCTAAGGTGCAAACATATTATGCAAGAATTTCATCCCAGCATGAAAGCAAAAGATTGTAAACAGTTTAAAATCTCCAAATAAGAAAATAGTTAAATGACATTACTAGAGCATACATATGTACTAGCCATGGAAATTGTGTTTAAGAAAGTACTTAAGACCAGAGAGAATGTTAAATGGAAAACCCAAGAAACAAATTCTGCACGTTTTTGATTTCATGTTAAAAAAGAGAAAAGGAAAGGAAGAATAACTTTTTAAGAACCAACTGAGAAGGAAACAGGATTATAGCTGTTATCGAAAATCAAACATTTGTCATCGTGATTTCCCTTGTGTCCTTCTAAATGAAATTCAAACACAATGTGTAAGTCAATCCTTAAAATTTGGGGATGTGGCTATAAAATGTGTCAGTCACCACTTTTGTCATTGTTTATACCTATTTTCCATGTGCAAAGAAAAATGATCTATTTAAACTTTCAAATCATATACTTCTTTGGAAAAATTCCAGATTTGGTGTTTATGGGCACAACTTTGGAGACTGCATTTTCAGAGTGCCAGGCACCCTTAAACACTGAGGTTTTCTTGGTGATTCAATATTGCACTACAGGTGGACTTGCTGTTTTTCAGAACTTCAAGTCTGTTTTTGTTTGATATGTATTAGGAGGAGAAAGCGAACATTAAATCTTGCTTTAAAATAGCATAAGGAATTATCTTATGTTTAAGATTAACGCAAACCTTGAAAGGGGATTGTTAATTTTGATTCTTTCCATAAAA